CTATCTTATCATATATAATATAGACTTTTTTATCTTGGTATATGCAATATACACTTTCCTGTGTTGTTATTTTTCTATCTTGTTACATTTTTTAATTTAGTTTCTAGTGTTTTTCATTGGATATATAATATACACTTTCCTATCTTGTCATAGGCAATATATATATATATTTGCAGGCTCCTACCTGTTTTTTCAATAAATTAGGGAGTTACATTTTGAAGATGCTATACCAAGTTTTTTTTCTTAACTTGACGTATACAATATACACTTTTCTATCTTATGTTGTTACTTTCTTATCTTTCTAATCTTGTTACAATTTCTAAATTTTGTTTCTATTAATATCTACTTAAAACTCATAGATGTGTATTGACAACTCATACATTTGTATTGACAAAAGATGTTTGTCATGCGCTAACCATTGAAACACAAAATATACACAGTTGATGCTTATATTTCATTTTTTGCTTTTTGTGGCTAGCCCTGAGTTCAAGTGTTCTAAAATTACTTTTACTAAAATTTAAGTAAAATGCATTTCATAAATTTATTAAAAGTTTCATGAAATGTAAAAACTAAGCCATAAGTAACCAATAACTATGAAAATTCATATTTATGTTTTGAAAGAATATAAAAAAAGTATTGTATACAATGAGATCATTTACTTTTGATACAAAGAGGTTACAATTACTTATAACCATCATATGTAAAATTTGATTGTTTGGGTGTGTTACAAAGTTCGAAAAGATTTTAAATTCAATGGTCATGATTAATTGTGACTACTTTTTATCAAAGATAAATGCTCTCATTAGATATTTTTCTTATAAGAAAAGTTAAACAACAAGCACTTTTGTGATGTGGCAAATATGAAATACATACTTATCAGGATCTTGGCAATTGAATAAATAAGCAGTCTTGTTCAATCGTAATCAGTTTGATTATTAGTTGAATTGGTTGGACTAAATTAAAAAAATATAAAAAAATAAAATAATAATTTAAAAATATAAAATATATTATAAATTTTTTTTTCCACTTTGTTTAACCCGTTCATCAAAATTCGCAGTCCAACCGGAAAAAACTGGTCGAATATTGCTTTTCACATATATTCAACCAAATTAAGTTTTTAATTTAAAGTAGATCGATCAGGCACCAAGTAGTAGTCTGATCGGCTGTCTAGTTCGGTCTTGATAACTATGATAAAAGCACGCTTTTAACACCACCTAAAGTAAAAAGAAACCCAACGGTATTTTATCATGTGCAGGGATTTTGAGAGCGTGGAGGGATTGACGACCACTAGAGAGAGAGGATGAAATTGGTAGAGAGAGAATGAGAGGTAAAGAGAAAGAGGGCACCATGTAGAGAGATGCTATAGATGGAAAGAATGTGGGAATGAGAGAGAAAGAGAATAGCATATAGAGAGAGGATGAAATGAAATTGATGGAGAGAGAGTGAGAGGAAAAGGACACCAGAGTGAGAGAGAGGGAGCAAGAAAGAGAGAGAAACAGGATACCATATGGAGAGAGAGGATGCCATAGATGGGGGAGAGAGGGAAAATGAATAGGACATCGTTGACAGAGATATATATACCACAGATGGAGAGAGAGATACCTTAAACGATCATCTATCTCTAGCAAAATCCAGGCACCCCATCACTGTTTTATTGCCTCGCAATCGACCTCCTGAGAATGGCACCGAGTTACTGCGTTCGAGTCACCTGAACTTCTTCGCACCGATGCCCTCATCAGAGCTTTCTAGAGAGAGAACCAAATAGGAACCTTAAGCAGCGAATAAAAGGGAATTATGATCATCAAAACCAGGGATTTTCATTGCCGGAAAAACTGATTCCTTTGCCGGAATTTTAGAAATCTGGCAACCGGGAAAATGGAAACACTGAGAAATCCTGCACTATCCAGTGAAGGTGCTGAGCTATCGTGATAAATGCTATAACTTATGGGTCAATATTCCATACTATAGTGCGTGCTCTGTGCTCTCCCAAGATCATACTGGATATTTACTTCCTTGGGTAAAAGACTCATCCAGTACCCTCTCATTGTAAAGTAATCCACTTAAAAACAAGTAAAGGTATCCAATACGTCCTATCACTATTGCAACAAAGGGTCACCATGCACTGCACAATATAGTAAGATCATGTGCTTTTAGTACAAGGGATCACGATTATCCTTAGTTATTAACAAGAAATCAAATGAGTTAGTTCCAAATGATATAATAAGACACAATCACCATTAGCCATTAGATTTAGATGTAAAACTTAATTTATTTGAAATTTGTAATTAACGGAACTCAAAGTCTTAAAGAAAACCTTTTAAGATTTTGTATTTTACAATAATTTTTTAAAATCTACATTTAACCGGCAGGGATATCGTAACCTCCTAATGCTAGAGGTAAATGGTATAATAGTATATGATCCCAAGAAGTAATGTTTTCACTCATATATCTGACACTTAGGTCTTTGTTCAATCATAAAAAATAATATTTTCACTCTTCATGTAAATTTATAGAGTTTTTTTTTGTGTTTAGGAGGCTGGTCACTATATTGAGAAAGTTATATCCCAAAAATGTGGTCCTGAAAAATATTTATCCTTGGTATAAAGAGGCCACAATCATCTTAAATTATTAGATTTAAAATCAGGTGAAGTGCCACTGACTACGCCATAGTCCTAAAGAAATTGTTTTTTTTTAAGTTTTGCAAAACACCGCCGAACTATCAGATTTGGATCTAATGGCTAAAGGTATTGTGACGACATTATACCAAAGGTGAGTAATATTACATTATAGATATTAAGAAATAGCCATATGAACACTTTGTTAAAAATTCCTCTTAGCTGACACTGAAGTTCAATCTTTAGAAGTAATGTTTTCACTTCTAAGGCATGTACATTGGGTGTAATTTCATATTTTTGGTTGCTAGGTTGGGAACAATTGACCCGAGAATGTCCTAAAAATACTCCCAAGTGGAATTTCACGAGAGGTAGTGAATACAGGATATCTGCTCCCGCGGGAGCAATATAATCCTTCCCGCGATAGAAGAGAGGAACGTTTTCATAGTTATGTGGGAGTACATCGTAAATTTACTCCTTCAGGCAAAACTCAATTCTAGGAGTAATATCAGGACCTCAAATTTTAGGCTTGCAGCCTTTTCAACCCACACACTAACCCTCAATAAAAAAAAAAAAATCCAAAATATACTCTCCGTACAATTAAAAAAATAAAAAAAATAAAAAATATAGACATTGTACAAAGATCGTTCAATTTTTGAAGGGCGAGACCTAAGCGTTGAAACTCAAAATTTTTTTTTCGAAATTAAGCATCTATTGATTTTTAGGTGGTTCCCAAAATTTCATGTAAAAAAAAAATCCTCCACAGCGAATCTTCTACCCATGAGAATGGACATGTTGCTCCCGCGGGAGTAAAATATACATGCTCCAGGGGGAAAAATAATGAGAGGGATCCAAAAGTGTCACACGTAGGGTATTGCACGTGCCATAAGGAAACACAAATTTGATACAGCCTCTCTTTGAAATGATTCTGCCATTGATTCTGATTATTTAATTGGTCCATCGCACGTGCATACTGCAGTAAAGTAACATGAAAAGCCATGTATGCATAGGTCTATCTTTTACGGATAGGAAGAAAAGCTCACACCTACACATAGTACCCAAGAGGCCAATATTTCTCATATAAAACTCTTTAACCTTTGTGTCCCCACAAAAATGAAATCAGTCTTTCTCCCTCTTTCTCTCTCTCCCTTATCTCTTTCTAGAGAGAGAAAGACAAGGCGCGCCTTGAGAGAACCCATTTTCATGAAGTCAAACTGCACATCTCTCTCTCCTTAAAAACCAGGGTTTGGGCTACAAAATGTGACCAAAGGTCACTTGGTTTGGACCACGCCATCGTGACCTGGCAGAACTTCGATGGCGTGGGTCCCATAGGGACCGGGGCTGGGCTAGGGCTAGTATTGGCCTGGCCTAGTGCTAACAATACTTGCTTCTTTGTTTGCCAAAAAATTAGTTTGCTCCAATAGAAGGATACCATATATTCCCTTCCTTCGACAAAATCCAATTTAAGAGTATTTTTAGGATCTCAATGTAACTTAGTGACCAACCTCAATAAAGAAAAAAAAAAAAAAAAAAGTCATACGCCTTTTACATGTTATAGAAAAAATTAATGTCATAAGCTCGAATAGAGACCATAAGATTTCGGATGGATAGATTTAAGTGTTGAGAAACTCAAAAGTCATTTTTTTATAAATATTTATCTTATAATTCTAAAGTGTATCCCAAAGTTTTTAAGCTAAAAAACGCTAAAATTTTAAACCAAAAAAAAAAAAAAATCCTAAATAAGTGCTTGCTTGAGTTGTATGATGTGCTCCTACGAGACTATACAACACATTCTCTTCTCTCTTGTCCAGTCTTTTCTTTCAATCAAGGTGACTTTTTGTAACTGTTTACAAGTTTTGGGCTGTTTCATCATTTTCTCCTCGACTCAATTAAGGGAAAAGTTTATATAGAGCCGATGCTCTAAACAATCAAATTTGAACCTATCTCAAAAATTTCATTAGAAGATGTTGTTTTGATGTTCAAATATCTTCAAATTGATCATCTCGACATCAAGAAGCATGGACATGAGAAAAAACTAGATTTCAAGTTTTGGAAATAGTGTGTTTTGTAACACTTGTTTAGACCGCCTATCTTCAAGTTATCATAGATCTACCGATCTATAATATTTTTGAAGCTTTAAACTTTATAAATAAATATAAAAAGATATTTCAAGGCTATCACAAAGATTTCCAATATTGAAACCATATTTCTTGATACCATTTGAAAGTAGGCTCTAATTTGATTGTTTAGAGCCTAGGCTCTATACAAACCTCAACCCTTAATTAATAACTTTATAATGCTTATTTATTTATCTCATAATTTACATTGGCCAAAAGGAGGGAGCTTAGAAGAATAATGGGATTATTTTAATTGCATTAGGGATTCCTATCATTTTCTATACTAATTTAACATTTTTTCTAAAAAATCATATGAATCATTATCATTGTCAAAGATTTTTCCCAATTAATTAGGTTTTGCTATACGAATCTTAGTTTGTCATTTAAGATTCATGATAAGTTTTGACAAAGTTTTACGTTGGCCGCCCACCAAACCCAACCTAGCCCCTCTACCTGATAATGGTATGAGTTAAAAGAAAGTTTAAGATCCTCACCCTTCTTAGACCATGTTCTGATCATCATCATTGTTTTTAAAATGAAGTTGATGTTTGATTTGAGGCCATGGCAATTCATTGTTTCAACTCACACAAATGGTGAATAAGACGTAGTATTAGGCCAAAGGGAACATCATGTGATTGAGTGGATGGATTTCTTATAATTTCCCATGAACTTCAGTTCGTTAGTGAAATGATGTTGGGAAAAGCCATTCCACAAAAGTAAATTACCGAGGAAAATTGTTTCATGCGGCATGGATCGCATTTCTACATTTGTGATCCCCAAGATATAAAGCATCCATCTTAAAGATGAATGCAAATAAGTAGTCTATCTAAAAACACTTGAAACTAACGGTCCAAATGTTTTTTTAATAAAATTATTATTTTTATTTTTGAATATTTTCCTTTTTTATATTCATAATCTTCATGTTCGAGATTACATGTCCATAAAAATTAGGTCAAAAAATCCATCTCAAAAATAGATTTTTAAGAGGTGACTCGTTTCTTCATGGACTCATATAAACCCTGCCCAGTCATGAAAGCACTATATTTCTTTTCTTATGGATGAGAGAGAGAGATTTCAGGTTGGAGAGAAAGAGAGATTTTGGATGTGAAGAGAGAGATTCGGGTAGAGAGGGAAGAGAGAGAGAGAGATTTTGGACGTGAAGAGAGAGATTCGGGTAGAGAGGGAAGAGAGAGAGAGAGATTTGCATGTGAAGAGAGAGAAGGAGAGGGAGAGTTTTGCATGAGACGAGAGAGAGAGAGACTGTAGGGTGCTTGGGGAGGGAGAGAGATTTTGGGTGGAGAGAGAAGTTTTAGATGTGAAGAGAGAGAGAGATATTAGATGTGGAGAAAGAGAGGGTTTGAAGAGACATATTAGATGTGAAGAGAGAGAGATTTTGGAGATGAAGAGAGAGAGAAGGGTTTATTTGGAGAGAGAGAGGGGGTTTGGAGAGACATATCTTGAACATGAAGAGAGAGAGAGAGACAAGGGTTTTTTTAGGAGAGAGAGAGAGAGATTTTGGGTGTGTGGCATCATAGTCAACTTTTTGTGTTGTATTCTACTATGTATCATAGGGTCCTTGAAAAAGGAGGAGCTTCCTTAGAGAGAGAGAGAGAGAGAGAGAGAGGGTGTGTAGCATCATAGTCAACTTTTTGTGTTGTATTCTACTCTGTATCATAGGGTCCTTGAAAAAAGGAGGGTTTCCTTTGAAATGGTGCTCTATGATTGAATGATACAAGTGGGAGCTACCTAAAGTGTGAGAGGGACTAGGTAGAGAGATGGAAAAGCTCCTTTAGTAGGTAGAGAGAGAAAGCTTCAGCCTCAGCCTCACCATCATGGACACCTCCACTAAACCAGGTATATTCTCAATAGAAGGTAGAGGACACGTGGTGTCCTCCCATCGAATCTTAGCATGTGTGGAAGAATCGTTGCGATTGGATGTGTCGGCCAAACAAAGTGGGGTGGTGGGCAGGAGGAGCAGCAATGGTGGGAACAGCGTGGCTTCTGGTGTAGCCTATTCAGCAGGCTGGCCACGGACACCCCTGTCTCTCTCATCTGCACGCATTCCCATTGTGATTCTTTCCAAACCCGAATCAGTAGGGTGATACTTCGCCCCCACATATCCGAGTCGAACCGCCGCCTCAGCCAGGTTTGGATTGTTTTGAATGGATGATCACAAAAAATATCAAAAAGTAAAAAATAAAAATAAAATAGTATTTAATAGAGGTTGAAGATGTACGACCAAATTTTTTTGTG